TGCATGCCAGTGCTGTGTGTGAGGTAATTTAAGGTGGTTCTGACAAGTGTCGTCGGCATCTTCGTATCCGGTCACATGGGCGGCAAGCCACTTCCGTCCAGTCACATGGGTGGCAAGCCACTCCCACAAAGGAGGCCACACCCACAGAGTAGGTTCAAACAATTTTTGAAACCCACCACTGCCAGGCGGCCATGAGCATTCTGGGAGCTGAAGTCCGCAGATCTGAAAAAGTTGTCAAGGTTGAGCAATACTGGTTTAGATTAACATAGAGACCAGACTGGTTAGAAAAATAGCAGGAAAAGAAAAGGTGAAGTGAGGTGAAGTGAGGTGAGGTGAGAAGAGGAATGGAGTGGAGGACGGAAAGGAAAGGATAGAACACAGGTATGTGGGCTGAATATAGCGACAAAGTCATAAACAGTTGATTGGTTTTATACATTGAATTCTTGTCTGGAACTCAGCTCAGTACTTTAAAGAATGTTATCCTAACCCAAAAGTCTCACTTTGTTTTCTTTTTTTTTATGTCTCTACAGCTGTTCAAACTTCAGGAAACTCTGGAATTGTGCCTTACGTGAATGCATCAGGTAGCACTTATTATATCAACGTTTAGAGTTGCCTTAATCACTGCATTTAACTGGGATTCCTAGCTCATCAGCTAAAAACAAACACGCCATTCCTTTCAATTCATGAAGGAAGAATTATTAAGAAAGAAATGAGGAGGAAGAGGAGGAGGAAGAGCAGAAGGAGGAAGAGAAAGAGGAGGATGTTTTGATATGAATCAGTAAGATTGAGCCCCTTTCGAGATGCAGGAAAGAAAGCAGGAGTGCAGAGCAAACTTAGCATTTTCTTGAGGAAGAAATCCAGTGGAGGATTTAGATTAGCAAAATTATTGCAGGGATGAAATTGTTGTAGGGAGGAAGGCAGCTCATAATAAGCTGTCACCAATAGATCAAGTTTACTCTGAAGCTGGGTTTCAATCGGTGCTTAAGTGCCAAATTCTATCACCGCCGCTGTCATAGATTAATCATGGGTTATGCCATTCCGTATTAGCATTTATATGCAATTTTGATATAGGAAATGAATAGGGTAGTTGATAAGACAGAGGCACCTCGGTTGCCACCTGAGAAATGGAAACCAATATATCTGGGAGGCACCTGAGGGAGGATAAATTTAAGAGGAGATACGTCAGCTTTCTTCAGACATATTGGAATGAAGAATTTGAACAAATGGGTGGAAAGTGAAGAGCTGCTGAAACATGGGGGAAGGCAAGATGGGCTCGGAGGTATAATGGGTCCTCAGATAACTTCCTTGGTGTGTCCTGGATTTTCTGCCTCATCTGGCTTGTTTAAAAAAAGTTGGAAGCTGGTACACTGCAAAACGAAACACCCGTCTCTAGCTTCATATTTATTTCCCAGAATGCCTTTGGGCCCCATCTAAAACTCAGAAGGGTCAAAAGAAGTCATTCAGGAGATAGTGCTGTGTTTGAAGGATGTTGAGATCTCTGATTGTAGAAATCTTGGCAGTTATTTTTGAACCTGTTGGCATCATTATCTTCTCAAAAAAACTAATATTTGGGCCACATCAAGAAGTCGTAAGAGTCAAGAGAAGGCTTCCTGAAGATGTTGTTGTGTCTGAGGGATGTTGAGATGGCCAATCATAGACACCTTGGCAGCCATTTTTGAATCCTCTCAAAAATCTAATGTTTGGGCCACACCGAGAACTCATAAAGGTCAAGAGTAGGCACCCTGGAGATGTTACTGTGTCTGAGGGATGTTGAGATGGCCAATCATAGGCACCTTGGCAGCCATTTTGTGAACCCATCCATGTCACCCTCTCACAAATCCGACTCAAATCCCCTCAAAACTAGCCTGTCCCTCCTATCCTTGCATGCTGGGTGGGGGGTAGCTAGACATTCAAAGGCCCCTTCCTCAGATCCCTAATGGTCTCTCTTCTCTCGTTGTCGTTGTGTTTTGTACAGAGGAAGCGGGAATCCTGAATGAGCAGAATGTGAAGCCTAGAGATGAGCAGTAGCTACTGCAACAACGTGTCAGTGACCATGAGTGTCAACGAGGTGTCCAGTTTCCCCCTGACCCTGGAGCAGAAAACCGGTTTCGCCTTTGTGGGGATCCTGTGTGTGTTTCTGGGACTTTTGATCATCAGATGCTTCAAAATCTTACTGGACCCCTACAGCAGTATGCCTTCCTCCACCTGGGAGGGTGAAGTTGAAGGGTTGGATAAAGGGACATTTGAATATGCTCTTGCATGAAGCAGAATCCTCAAAACGTGTCCTGCCTTAATTCCGATTTCTTTCTTTCTTTCTTTCTTTCTTTCTTTCTTTCTTTCTTTCTTTCTTTCTTTCTTTCTTTCTTTCTTTCTTTTTTGTTCCTGAAGCTGTGGAATTCGAAACATTTGTAATTGACAGCCATGTCTGAAAGGTGTGGCTGTAGCCTTTTTTTTTTTTTGTTAAATAAAGCTTTGCGGCAGACTCAATGAAACCAGTTCCATTGTTAGATGTGTTTTTTTTTAACTGGGAGATGTTTCAGAGGAGACTTCACTTGGATTGTAAGCCGCCCTGAGTCCCCTCAGGGAAAAGGGCGGCCTATAAATCCAAATAAAACAAAACAAAACAAACAAAAATGACGAAGGGAAATCATTCACTATGAGTAGAAAAAAATAACAGAATAACAGAAATAGAATAGAATAGAATAACAGAGTTGGAAGGGACCTTGAAGGTCTTCTAGTCCAACCCCCTCCTTAGGCAGGAAACCCTACACTACTTCAGACAAATGGTTATCCAATCTCCTCTTAAAAACGTCCAGTGTTGGAGCATTCACAACTTCCGGAGGCAAGTTGTTCCACTGATTAATTGTCCTCACTGTCAAGAAATTTCTCCTTGGTTCTAAGTTGCTTCTCTCCTTGATTAGTTTCCACCCACTGCTTCTTGTCCTTCCATCAGGTGCTTTGGAGAATTAATAGTTTAAGCTCTGCATAGAGCTCTTAACACCTCCAACTTAAAGGTAATCCTCGTTTTACAATGATAATTGGAACTAGATATTCCATTGCTAAGGAAGGAGGTTGTGAAATTAGTTGCACCTGATTTGTTTTTTGCCATAGGTGTTAAGCAGCCGTTAAGCGAATCATGTGGTCATTAAGAAAATCCAGCTTCTCCCAGTCGAAAGTGAGCTGGAAAGGTCACAGATGGCAATCACATGACCCCGGGATGCTGTAACGTTGAGTTGGCCATGCACATCCAGTCACATGACCACTGAACCCCGCCTACCCAGGTGGTCATTGGGGCAGAGAACCGGTTGTTAAATTATTTAAATCCCACCACTGTCTGTACCTCTTTTGGTATCATTAAAGACCGACACAACTTCAAGGTCACCCCGATACTCACAAAGAGGAGGAGGAGAAGTGACAATACTGCTTTGGACAGCTCCTCTCTTCCATTTTAAGGACGCTGGGAACCATCGTTTCATTTTTAACACTGTTACTTTCATTAAACTGTGCTCTAAGAACTATTCAGACAAGGCCAATCAGCTCAGACAGATCGCTCCTCATCTCTATAATTTAATAATGCGCCGTTTGCTTTATAATCTAGACAGATGACAACGGAGGGAATTGTGATTCTGTCAGCTAAAATGAAATGCCACTCAAATCGTATCAGAATTTATAAGAAAAGACAGGAGAAACACATAGTACAAAAATGGGCTCAGATGAAGCCAGAAATATGGATACAATGCAGCACAGTGCTGTTAAAATATGCATCCATTTTTTGTGCTTATTCCTACAAATGCTTAGATTCCTGAATGGGATTTTAGTGATATGTGCATTTTACAAGCAACTTCCTTGAATATGTTTTGTCTAATCTTACACAACTATTGTAAACAACCTAGAATTTAAGGAGGAGCTAGAAACATCTCTCTCTCTTTTTGCAAATAATTGAATAAGAATGATTTTGTGTGGATTTGCCACTAGTTACCATATTTTTTGGACTATAAGACACACTGGTGTATAAGACGCACCAAGATTTCGAAGAGGTAAGTAAGTAAAAAAGGTTTTTGTCCTACCCAAAATGAGGGTATTTTTCCCTTTCCTCCAACCCTGCTGAAGCCTGCAGAGTGCAGGAATGGGGAATAAGAAGAAGGCCAAGCGCTTATTTCAGGGGTCCAAAAAAAAATAAGACCCTGTCTTTTTTTGGGGGGTGGGGGGAAACACGGGTATATCTAATTTTTACTGAAACAAACGTTTTTTGATTTCCAGCAACATATTGCTAAACCGAGCCTGGAGAATAATTGCAACCAATGACCTTTCTCTGCTTCAAGGTTAAAAATAAAATGTATTACCATGAATATTTAAGGACTTTTTCACACCACTGCATAAAAGTTATTTCAGTAGCGCATGACTGCTTGGGAATATGCTATGGCTGTTCCATCTGTCATTTATAAACTTAAAACAGTAGCAGTTAGGATTTTGATGAGCATGTAAATGACTTTCATTAGATCCACTGACTTTCGGTAAGAGACCAATGCTAGATTGGACTGCTACCATTCAAGTATTAATGAATTCATTAGAAGCTAATATTTAACAGACTGAAATGTTCCTCGAGGCGAGGGGTAACTAAGTCTTCTCTTCTGAATTCTAGGATTGGCTGATTTCCTTGGTAATTTATAGAGAGGCCAGTAGAATATGGTCCAGAGTGAAGGACGCTTAAATTTCACCCCCAAATAAGAAATGAAACTACTGCTTCATTTAATAGAGCGCCAGAAGCAGCTAAAGCTATCTTGGATATGGTAGCTGACTTTATACTTAGTTTGAATATACTTCAAGACGAAGAGCTGCAGCAAACAGGCTCCCGAAAACACACATTGTGCCAATAGTTGGCTAAGAGGTAAGGGTTTTTATGTATTTCATTTCCAGCTAGGATTACAAATTGTTCCTAATTTATGTTTGGAAATCTGTTCCCTCTTTTGAAAACAGCTCATCCGTAACAAGTAAACTTTTTTTTAATGGGGAGAACCAGCCCACGTTTTCACATTTAAAAAAAAAATCCCAGCAATAGAATTGGTAAGTTTAAGTTATACCAATCAACATCCTGGGAAAATGGATTCACCGAACGCATATGCTGTTGCTAAAGTACATTTTGAATCACACTTAAATTTGTGCTGGATGTTCAGAGACAAACTGGATGTTCGAATATTCACACATGCTCTAGAAATCTGAATGTGGGCATTTGTGTGCTGTAGTAGGTTTGTAACAAGCAAACCGGTGTAATTCTTATTTTCTTTCTTTTTTCCCCTCCCTGCTTGGATGTTAGATTAAAAAATGACTGTTACCCCTTACATTTTTCTTCTCAACAATCTTCTGTTTGCAGCCGTTGCTTACGGTCTTCAGCTTAATCGCTTAAAAACCAGACATAAATATCACTTTACAGAAGATTGTCCAATATAGAAGAAAATTAAATCTATTTTTAATTAAGAGCTACAATAGAAATGCAGTGCGGAACAACTGATAATCAGCCATTTGCTGCCAGAGTCCTTTGCTCTTTAAATGGCTTTTTTCCCCCCTTCAGAGAGGAGTTTCTTAAACATCATTAAATGTTTACCTCAGGACACCTCCCTGCTTTTAAAAATATGGGGTACTCCAAAAGAGGTTTTTGTATGGGTAACATTTATCTATATTTACCATATTAAACATTAAAATTGTCTTATTCATTGCCACTGCTGCTCCTCAGTAGTGTTTTAATACTGTTTTTTTCAACCTCGGCTGACAAGTTATTTAGATTTAGAAGACCCCTGAGATGGCCTTGGGACACACCCTCACCCCAAAAAATCCTAGACCACATTTTGCTCTAGAAGTAAACTGGAGAAAGATTTTCATGAAATATAGAGTAAGAGTCATTTCGAATGGAAAAATGGATACTCATCGCTTTTCATCACTTTATCGCACCTTCTCTGTTTTAAGTTGTCAATAATAATTGGGGAAGTGGGAAATCAAGATCATTACTTGTATTTCACTTTTAAGAAACCTGTAGTCTGGATAACCAGAGAGTGGGACAGTTTGATGGATAGGTGAATGGACCATCTTTCCATTTTGTTTTCAGTTGAAACAACATCAATTGATTTTTAAAACTGTTTCCCCAAAGTCTTAGACTTTCGTATGTATGTATGTATGTATGTATGTACATATACATATACATATACATATACATATACATATA